TTGTTTTGAGACAAGATTTTGCTCTGTCACCCAGGCTGGAGTGCAGTGGTCAGATCTCGGCTCAGTGGAAGCTCCGCCTCCCAGGTTCAAGCAATTCTCTTGCCTCAGCCTCCCCAACAGATATTCTTTTATGCTTCTCTATTCATAGTCTAAAATATTAAAGCAAAACCTGTTCATTCTAGAAAAGCTGAAAACCCACTTAAGCAAAAAGAATAAAACACAATAAAATTCATCTGTAATTAAAATAGAGGCAGCCTCTGTTAACATGGGGTGTAGAGCCTTTCTGATTTTGTATCTTTTTTTTTTTTTTGAGATGGAGTCTCACTCTGTCGCCTATGCTGGAGTGTAGTGGTGTGATCTCGGCTCACTGTAACATCCGCCTACCCAGGTTCAAGTGATTCTCCTGCCTCAGCCTCCCAGGTAGCTGGGATTACAGGCACATGCCACCACGCCTGGCTAATTTTTGTATTTATAGTAGAGACGAGGTTTCACCATGATGGCCAGGCTGGTCTCGAACTCCCAGTCTCAGGTGATCTGCCCGCCTCGGCCTCCCAAAGTGCTTGGATTACAGGTGTGATCCAATGCGCCTGGCCCTGATTTTATATCTGAATACACACACACATACACACACACACACACACACACACACACAGGATTCCTCTTGAATATCATCTTGTAATCTGCTCTTATTGAAGTCGAATTTAGACACAGTAAAATGAACTCTCTTTGGTAAACAGTGCCATGAATTTGACAAATGCATATAGTTGAGTCATTGCTCCTATAATCTGTAGTCTTATCATATTTACTTTGCTCTACATTATAAACATATTTCTGTGTCACTAAAGGTGTATCTGTTTTGTTTTGTTTTGTTTGTTTGTTGTTGTTGTTTTGAGACGAAGTCTCGCTCTGTTGCCCAAGTTGGAGTGCAGTGATGTGAACTTGGCTCACTGCAACCTCCGCCTCCCAAGTTCAAGCAATTCTCCTGCCTCAGCCTCCTAAGTAGCTGGGACTATAGGCATGCACCACCACGCCCGGCTAATTTTTGTATTTTTAGTAGATGGGGTTATTCAGTGCATGGTATGCCATCAGATGGATGCAAGCTAATTCATTTTACCAGTGGAAACTTTTATTATATACCCTCCACCCCAACATTTGTTCTCAGGATGGGAGGATGGAGACACCCTTCTTCTGCCAATTCACACAACCTTGGCAGCCCAGGAGGTCATCAGCTCCCCTACTAAGCATGTGTGTGGAATAATATCTATTCCAGAAGCATGCTAGGGAATGGGTGCTCTGATTAAGTAGGATCTTCTGGTTAACAGAGGTTCTTTTCCAGGTATTTTCCTTTGTAGTTGAATGTCTTTCAGAGCCCACTTTCTTGTTAAGTTGTATATAAATACATCCAATTCATAAGACAGTAAAGCCAGAAGTGGTTTCACAGTTCATCAAGTTAGCTTCTTGTAATACAGCGTGATGCTTTATTCAATCACCTGATGATCTGGAATCATGCTGGGCCATCCTTACATTGGCCTGTGACTGCTATGGAGAATGTGGGAGGAGAGTGGGCAGGATCTATACTGACTCCAGGATGCACTTGACTTTGATTCCTTGAGTAAAATCTCTGATAAGAACTTGCCTTGCTGTCCTGTGACTCTGTGTTTGGTCATTTAAAAAATCTTTTTAAAATACAACTTTTCCTTTCGTTTGTCTCCGTCTCTCTGGACTAGTTCCTAACCAAATCACCCTCCACGCCACTACTACAGGCGTCTTTTTAGATCACAAGTCGGGCTATTCCTTTCTTGCTTGAGAACGTCCAGTGGCTCCCCATCTCCCTCAGGACCAAGGTCAAGCCCCAGACAGATCTTCCATGATCTGGTTCCTTAATAAGCAGTAGATTTCTCCCTCTGTCAACTCCACGGTCATACTCTCCAGCTGCACCGAGCGCTTTTATTTCCTCCAAAATGCCATGCTTTCTTTCATATTCAGGTCTTTGTCCATGCAGTTGCCTCTGCTCAAAACACTTCCTGCAACCCCTCTTTGCTTCCCTTCACTCTACTAGTTCATGGTCTTAGTTTTGACATCACCTCCTCTGAAAACATTTTTTTTTTTTTGAGATGGAGTTTTGCTTTTGTTGCCCAGGCTGGAGGGCAATGGCACGATCTTGGTTCACTGCAACCTCCGCTTCCTGGGTTCAAGCAATTCTCCTGCCTCAGCCTCCTGAGTAGCTGGGATTACAGGCATGCGCGCCATCATGCCTGGCTAATTTTGTATTTTTAAATAGAGACGGGGTTTCTCCATGTTGGTCAGGCTGGTCTAGAACTCCTGACCTCAGGTGATTCACTCACCTCGGGTTCCCAAAGTGCTGGGATTACAGGCGTGCGCCACCCCACCCGGCCTGAAAACATTTTTGAACACCTCTCTCTCCCATCCTACCCCATAATGCTCTGTGGTGTTCTGTACTTGCACAGTTGGAGGCATTTACTGCTCTATATTTAATTGTCTGTTTACTCATCATTTTCCTACTCTATACTATAATTTTAAATGGCAGGGCGTTTTCTTGTTCAGTTTTGAATTCTCACTGCATTTGACACTGGGTAGTCACTCAATAAATAGTTTTGGATGGCACTTTGCCAATCTGGACTTTTCAGCTCAATATACATGATAAATAGGCAGGCTTTAGGCCTGGCTATCTGTTCTTGGCCACTTTATCACTGGCTACCAGCATGTGAACAAATCTTGCAGGAATAGCATAAGATTATGGCACATATTGATTTTCAGCTTTTGACTGTGTTTTCTTTTTTTTTTTTTTTTTTTTTTTGAGATGGAGTCTCGCTCTGTCGCCCAGGCTGGAGTGCAGTGGCCGGATCTCGGCTCACTGCAAGCTCTGCCTCCCGGGTTCACGCCATTCTCCTGCCTCAGCCTCCCGAGTAGCTGGGACTACAGGCGCCCGCCAACTCACCCGGCTAGTTTTTTGTATTTTTAGTAGAGACGGGGTTTCGCCGTATTAGCCAGGATGGTCTCGATCTCCTGACCTCGTGATCCACCCGTCTCGGCCTCCCAAAGTGCTGGGATTACAGGCTTGAGCCACCGCGCCCGGCCTTGACTGTGTTTTCAATAACCAGATATAGTGAAACTGTTTGAGTGCAAGATAGAGCCCCAATTTGACAGACCTTGAACCTCAAAATCATTTTAAGAGTCAGGGACGGAATGGTCATTTGATAGATGGGATAAATATATGCTGGGGGATAAAACAAAGCTGTCTTTGATCCTCTACTTTTTAGTTTGTTCCTGATACTCTATGTGACCATCTTTTCATATGCCCATTGTCTACAGAATCAGAAGGGTAAGATGCTACTCTGTACAGAGAATGACAAGAATTGCTACCTAATAACTGCTAGAAAGAAGGGGGCTAGGCGCAGTGGCTCACTCCTGTAATCCCAGCACCTTGAGAGACTGAGGCGGGTGGCTCACCTGAGGTTGGTAGTTCGAGACCAGCCTGACCAACATGGAGAAGTCCCGTCTCTACTAAAAATACAAAATTAGCCAGGCTTGGTGGCACACGCCTGTAATCCTAGCTACTCAGGAAGCTGAGGCAGGAGAATCGCTTGAACCCAGGAAGCGGAGGTTGCAGTGAGCTGAGATCACGCCATTGCACTCCGGCCCAGGCAACAAGAGTGAAACTCTGACTCGAAAAAAAAAAAAAAAAATAGAAGGAAGGGATATACACAAACTCTTCTGAAACCAAAGACATCATTTTTTGGGGAATAGACCCTGATATTTAACCGGAATCTAGCCAATAATTTTCTTTGATCAACTCATCCAATTGATACACAGGAAGGTTAGAAATTCTGAGGACATTATTCTGATTTTTTTTTTTGGTGGCTATTTAAATCTGTGAGGTGGGCATTTAATACTTACTTCAAAATTTGCTCAGCATTTGTGGGACACCACTTTTACTCATTTGTTGGGGAGTGGGCACCCTTCTAGTTCCTTTTGAGGTGATTCTTACCCCTGGCATGAGCACTGGTTGAGCCTAGAGTTGGAGGAAGGTAGGCTGTGTTTACCTTCATTCAGGCTCCTGAGGGGACAATCAGCCCTCTTGTGGCCTGGGTCTCGATGGCCAGCCAGGGAGCATCCTCAGGCATGCCCCTCACGTTTGTACCCTTTGGTAGCCACACTATGCTTCCCTAACTGCTGGAGGAGAAAGGTTCTAGTGATGAGGGATTGCCTGAGAGTAAATGGCCCATCCCTCCCCATAGAGGAGCAGCTTTCTACATTTTACAAGTGGCAGAACAACTCCCCCACTTCTTTTTCTTCTTCTTCTTAATAAAGAAATGTCGTGAGCAAGTCCAGGACATACAACAGATAAAAGCAGAGCTTCTCTGGTTAAAGCCAGAATAATGGGATGGGAGTGGAGCCGGGAGGGGACAGAGTCCCACCCTCTGGCTCCCCTTGCTTTGTGAAGAGACCAGAGGAGAGCTACTTTACAGAACTGTACTTTGGATCCTCGATAGAAACAGCCCTTACTGTAGGATACCGCTAAGGACATTGTTCTCCTCCTATACAGCACCCTTTCTAGGAAGACCATAGAATACGTTTCTCATGGGTCTCACTTCCAAAAAATCCTTGTTATTTTCCTCTTTTTTTTTTTTTTGGAGTGCTCGATTTATTTTTCTTACCTTATGGAAGCCATGGCTTAATGCCCCTTTTAGCATTGCACAGAGCTGCCCTTCTGGCAGTTTCTCAGGACTGCCCTGCACATATTTTATGAATTATAGAAATTAAGTCAGGAATCCAAGTATAATTTCTACTTTATTTTCCTATTGTCCCAAATTTCACTTTGTTTTCATTACATCTTCTATCTTATATGTGTATGTACCTTACCTCAAATCCTTTCTGGAACAAAACAGGATAAAAATAAACACATGAATGTGTAAGCATAATTAAAAACTAACAAACCATCCAATAACCTTCTGCAGCCACCATGTGACTGTGCTCACCTCGTTGGGGTGGAATCCATCCACGGGCTCGATGAGCTGCCAGGGCTGTCCGCCTCTCTTCTGCCACTCCTGTATGACTGCAGGACACAAAATGAGAGGGTTACAGACACACTTGCACAAGCAATGGCCAACATCCACGGACAAGGACGTGAGAGCTGCCTATGCCCTCCCGGGCCCATGTTGACTCAGCCACGGCTGTCTCTGAGCTGCTCTCTTGCACTGGGGGATTTCTGAACATAAAAAATCTTCCCACTGTGTGTGTGTGTGTGCTTTTTCTAACTCAGGAAGGGAATACATGAGAATGTTAGATGAATGTGGTTTGTGTAGCAGGGAAGGCAGTAGGAAAAGGTGAGCTCTCAAATATTCAACACCTATTTCAGTACATGTCACTTTTCGGTGGTGCGGTAGGATGGTATTACAGTAGGGGAAAATCAAACATTTTGTTAACATCCCCTTTCATGGGTTGCCATTTGCAGACTCTGCCTGCATGTGTCAAGCACTTGCCTTTAAAAATCATACAGTATGTCAGGAATATAATTACATAAAATTATCTCATCGCCACAGTTAGAGGGAGTATGGCTGCAGAAAAAATATTATGAACCCCAAAGTGATGAAAAGCAATGAAACTGTCCTTCAACAGGGGTGAGAGACCAAGAATGTCAGTTGCTCTAAGGCAGCAGCACAATTAACTCTACATCATTCCATCATACAGTCAGTAAGAACTCCTCAAGGAAATTTCAAATCCCTAGGAAGCCTCCAGAGAGCAGCATCTGAGCCAGCTGCTCCTGGCGAAGCTACGTCCTCACTTTCCCAGCGTCCAGTGATGGGGGCAGGCACAACTAAGATTCCTCCCGTTCTTTACTCTTCATTCCCCAGAAAACTCAAGAACATAGGTCTGTGCCCTCTGTTTCTCCCCTTCTCATCCCAAAGTAAGGATGGAAATTCTGTCAGGGGCTTTGATTGGACAAGAGGGGCTGGACTTCCCATGGCTGAGTCAATACAAGGCTGCTTCTGCAGTTAGTCCTAATATTCCAGCATGGTATCCCCACTTACTACTCAGCCTCCATTCCCCAGGGGCTGAGGATAATGCTGCCCTTCTCAAAGCTCAGGAAAAAATTCATACTAATGGTTTGGAGTCCTACACACTGAATCTCCAGCCCCTGTTAGCTTATTCTCTGGCAGAAAGACTGCCCCTGAGCCACAGCATCATATTATGCTTCTGGGTTTTACCAGAGGCTGTTAGAAGAAGCAGCTATTGATAAGTGGCCTTTGCATTTCTTGAAAACTCAAATTGAGGACACTGTCCACTGTGTTATGTGGTGTCCGCCACACAGAGTCTCCAGGGAGAAGTTGCGGCGTGCTGGTAAATAACACTTCTCTCTGAAGGAATGGAAGGTACCTGCTCTTCTAATAGGAAGCTCAGAGCTGCATCAATGCTTAAACAGCACTCACTCTCATGCAAGTTTATTTGTTCTGCCAAGCCAGCATGCAGCTTTCGACAATATCTTTCTTGCCCTTGGCCATAGTGTCTTGTAAAGGGACAGTTTTGGGGAAGCTTGCCTGGCTCAGTCTTCAGCTTGCCTGGCCTGTTTTGCCTGTTTTTTCTTTTTTTTGGGTGGAGGGGTGCATGACCTTGGAATCCAACCTTCTTCTTGAGGTTCAATTCTAGCTGCCCCACCTTTCCCTCTGGACTTGACACTCTGAAGCTCCTGTGGGTTCCAGACTGCCCTACTGGCTGCAATACTGGCCCTGCCTGCTCAGGGATGTTGTCCAGCCCATTCCCTGCCATTCCTGATCTGAACATCCAACAAATTGCCCTTAATGGGGAACCAGGCGTCTGGAAAGATTTCTTCAAACGCAGAGCCAGGATCACCACTCTCAGTTCTCTTTGTCCTTTTATGATCTTTGTCTTGTCTATCCTTGCAGTCCCACAGGAGTCTCTCAAACAACAGTCAGCAATGATGCAGAAAGACCCAGGCCAGGTGAAATGTCAGCCTCCCCGTCCCCTCCGTGACTTCAGAGATGACATCATCTCCATTCTACTTGTGCTCCTTTTTGCTTCACCAAAGTTCTTGATGAACATTTTGTCCCTTCTCCCACTTTTCCCTTTATTTTTAGTTGGGTTTCACTTTATACTGTACAGATGCTAACAGAAGAAAGAAAAGAAAGAATGAAAGAAAATCCCAACAGTGTGTTGCAAGGACTGAATGTTTGTGTCCCTTTCAAATTCCTGTGTTGAAACTCGAATCCACAGTATGATTGCATAGATAATTATTCCATGAAGATGGAGCCCCCATCATGGGGTTCATGCCCATGAATTCACACCCAGCCAAGTGTGGTGGCTCATGCCTGTAATCCCAGCACTTTGGGAGGCTGAGGCGGGTTGATCACGAGGTCAGGCGTTCAAGACCAGCCTGGCCAACATAGTGAAACTCCGTCTCTGCTAAAAATAAAAAGAAAACCCAAAAACAAAGAAACAAACCAAAAGATTAGCTGGGTGTGGTGTTGGGTGCCTGTAATCCCAGCTACTCGAGAGGCTGAGGCAGGAGAATTGCTTGAATCTGGGAGGAAGAGGTTGTAGTGAGCCGAGATTGCGCCACTGCACTCCAGCCGGGGCGACAGTGTGAGATTCCGTCTCAAAAATAAATAAAAATAAAATGAACCCCAGAGGGCTCTCTCACTCTTTTTTTTTTTTTTTTAAAACCATATGAGGATACAATGAGAAGTTGGCAGTCAGCAACATGGAAGGGGACCCTCACCAGAACCTGACCATGCTGGCATCCTGATTTTAAACTTTTAGCCTCCAGAACTGTGAGAAATAACTTTTTGTTATTTATAAGTCACCCAATTCATGGTATTTTATTACAGTATTCTGAGACAAGACAGTTATTAAAAAATTCCCAGGTGTGCTAATAAGAGCAAGCCAATGGGAATTGAGCCCAATCAAGAATTCAGACAGAATCTACTAAAAAGTTGTGAAGAGTTGGATGAATAAGACATGGAGGCAGAGTCCTCTTGTAATAAATAGATGCATCGCAAACCAGGACCTGACCTGGACTATCCTGGTGTCATCTGATGCAGTGGTGGTAGGAAGCCTCTTAAATACTTTTTGACTCTCCATGTTTGCAAAGAGAGTTGAATGACATATTGAATCAAAATCCATGCCTGAGATGGCTAAGAAAAAGTCTAGAAAAGGATTATGGAGATCAGGAGCTCTGGAAAATCCACAGTAGACAGCAAATTTGAACCTGTTAAGGAAACACAGTTTAAACAAGATCGTGTTCCTTGAGAAGAATGTTTACTAGGAGCCTGATATTACAAAGGTGAGATTTGCTTACACAGGAGTTTCTTAGACTGTGATTCAATTTTGGCATCTAGGCTTAAAGTAATTCTAGGCTATTTTCATTTTGATTTGCATTTTATGTGAGTTACTAATTACCAAACTAAAACCTATGGCCCTTAGAGAAAGAAAGAGAGGTGTTGATAGATGTCTTCATGGAACAAGATGATTCAATTATCAGAGTTAGTGATGCAGATTGAGCATCTCACATCCGAAAAGCCAAAATCCAAAATGCTCTAAAATTCAAAACTTTTTGACTGTCAACATGATGCTGAAAGGAAATGCCTATTGGAAAACTTTGGATTTTGTATGTAGGATGCTCAACTGCTAAGTATATATAATGCATATATTCCAAAGTCCTAAAACATCCCCCAAAATCCAAAATCTGAAACACGTTTTGTCCCAAGCATGCAGGATAAGGATATTCAACCTATACTGTGTTTTCAAAATGAGAAGAGATGACCATTCCCTTCTCCTTCCCTTGGAGACTTGAGCAATCCCATGATTGTGGGGAGTATAAAAGGAAAACTCAGGAATAAAAGCACAAAGAAAGAGAAGGGATATTTACTTGCCAAGCTTTGTGGAGGAACAGGGTTGGGAGCAGTGGGAGAGGTCCACCTTTTACCATCACCATAGTCCAGCAATTCTAAATGATGTCCATGACAACACATTCCTCCCTGCTAGGAAATTATTCCTGTCTGTCAACTCCCATCCCTTCTCTACATTAGGTGGCAACTACAAGGGAGTCCAGCCTTTGGAATAACTTGCTTGCCATATAAAATAATACAATAGGTGTTAAAAGAAAATGCTCCAAGTTTACTAAGACTACACCCTGTTTATTTACAGAGGTAAGCATCATTTTTTTCCCCATATGATTATTATGCCTGTGAGGGCTACGGGTCATCACATGTATGTAGCTATCAGGACAGTAAAACTTAAGGGAGCTTCAGTAACTCACAGGCAAGTGTTTATTTAGGATCTTATCTGTATCATGGCCAATGTCAAAGGAAAGATCCTTTTTTTGTTTATCTCAGGATGAATTCTGCTTTCTTGGGAGAAATGCAATACCAGACACTGGTCTTCACTTTTTCCTTGATTGATTTTAGAGTGGGAGGTCCAATCAAAGATAACATGGTAAGTTGGTCAGTTTCCTTTCTACTTTGGACCATAACTTAAAATAGACCAATGAATTCCTATTTGTCCTTCAGAAGACCTGGATTAAGTTTCTTGAATGATCATGGATGATCTGTGGAGATTTGGAGCATAATGTATTTTGTTTTGCTTTTTTCTTCTTTAACATAGTTTATTTGTAAAATCAAAGAAACTGCTAATGACCAGCTTTCCAAAGATGTAATAGAAAGAATGGAGGAAGACTCATAAAACACTGGATAGCTGTTTGATGAACAGCAACACTAGCAGATATTTTAAAGAAAAGACTGCTTTCTGGTCAGCACCATAAAGTCATTGGCTAATTTCACAAATGTATTCATGGTGAGGGGAAGCAAGAGCCAGGTTTACTCCAATTGAGCTATCTGGGAAGCTGAGGGCAGCTGGAGATATATTTAAACTGTCAGTGTAAAAATGGCTTTGTCAGCCAAGTGGCATTTTCTTTCCTCTGTGGTGAGGTGTGGTGCAGACAAAGAAAAAGAATATCACCTGCTCAAGTTGGCATTTCCTGAAGGGAGGAAAAGTTGCTGCCTCTGTTTAGTTCATAACCAGTTGGAGAATGAGTCAGCAAGAGACAAAAAGAGTCTTTGGAGATGAGCAATCAATTTTCAGTGCTGGACTGAGGCTGCCAGGGTGGAAAATGAACGGGTCTTGTGCCTACCTTCAAGAGACAGGGACCCTCAACTGCAATTTGCTCTGTCACAAGGATGTGAAATTGTGAATTTCAGTATCATGAAAAATGAGAATATTTTTAACACAATGGTCAGATCACATACAGTACCAAAATGAGAGGAGAGATTTCCATGGGACTATCAGGACTGCAGACGTAATAAATAACTCTGTAGGATTTTAATTTCTGATAAAAGATTACTTTTCTTCTTGGTAATGAGATGCATTTCTACCATACCTTCCTCGAAGGAACTCAAAGTACTTCACAGGCATGAATGGAGCTGGGGGGTGGGTTGGACATCAGGAGTGAAGGAGTTGCTTCATACACACTGACGATGGTGGGGGCGGGGGGATGGCCACTAGCAGTTATTGAGTCCTTACAACTTTACAAGTTTTGTTTTACTTAATCCTTACATGGGTTAGTTATTTCTATCCTACATACAAGGAAACAAAGGCTGGGTGGTTATTTAATTCACTTGAGGCTACCCAGCTATTCTGTGTCTGAGCTGGAATAGGAACACAGTTGTAAATTCTGGGCTCTTTCTATAACCACACATTGTACCCACATGAGGTGGGTTTCTGGGAAGATGAGCTGCCCAGGCATGGGCGGTCACCCATGGAGATGGATCTTGGAGGGGATTATCCCTCCAGCTACTTTGGAAAATGCTAAAATTTCAAGTTAAAAATGTCTTTTGCAGTATCTGACTCTGAGCTTAAGTCAGGACACTACCACCGTTCCCAAAAACCAGACAGAAAAGCTAGCTCTTTCAGAGGTGGACAAGGTGGCACCTAGACATCAAATGCAGGTGCTGTATCAGATGTTCATGGGGGCGGGCCCCACAGTGGTCCCACTGTTCTCACATGCCTTCCCTAGTGGAGTACCCACTAACTTCCTGAGGAGAAGATGAAGAAGGCCCCCCATGGAGAAACGCCTAGGAGGCTTCTCCCACGTTGATATAGAATGTTCAGTTCAGCTTAATTCAGCTTTTTGCTTTTTCATTGCATTTATTATTGCTGTGAGGACAAGAAAGGACTGATGAGGCTCTGCTTCCAAGCATGTCAGTTCACCAGTGGAATTCTGGACAGACAAGAATAAAGCTCTTCTCTCTATATCCTCCACAGAGATAAGGACTCTTCTGTTTTGTTGACAATTATGTTCCCAGCACCTTCATAGCTCCGGGCACATAACAGGACTTACAAATCTGATGACTGACCCAGCTCTTAATCTTGAGGCATTATAGAGCTCCATTTATTAAACTTTATTTTTATTTTTATAGAGATGAGGTCTCTGTCAACCAGGCTGGAGTTCAGTGATGTGATCACAATTCACTGTAGCCTCAACCACCCAGGCTCAAGTGATCCCCCTATCTCAGCCTCCAGAATAGCTGGGACTACAAGCATGCACCACCATGCCTGGCTAATTAAAAAAAAATTTTTCATAGAGATGGGGTGTCGCAGTGTTGCCCAGGCTGGTCTTGAACTCCTGGACTTGAGTGATCCTCCCACCTCAGCCTCACAAACCATTTACTAAACTGTAATGGGCATAGAAATGACCTGTGGATTGTGTTTGAATGCAGGTTCTGATTAGGTAGGTCTGGAGTGGGCCCTGGAATTCTGCATTTATAACCAGCTCTTGGGTGGTGTTGATTTTGCTTATCCAGAAGCATACATTGAGTAGCAAGGGTGTAAGGAAATGGTACCTTTTCTGTGTAACAGGCATAACATTTAGGAGGATGGCACATTACTTCATACAAGCATCACAGAGATTTGTTAGGAAGATATGGTATCCCCATTTCCAGGGCTGGAAAGGGAGTTTAAAATATTCAGAGAATTGCCTACAGTCCCAGAGATAATAAATGACAGAGCTAGAGATCACTCTGGAAAGTAAAAAACGTCCCATGTGAGTGTTAGACATTATTATATTTTTAATAACTTTATCTATATTCAAGGTTGATGATGATCAAAGATCACTTGGTGGTGCATTTGTTTACACCAGGAATTCATTAATGAGTCTTCAACTCTGCATTTTAATGAGGAGTTATTTATCAAAATGTCTCTCCCCATGAGAGAAATGTGTATCACCTAGGCAGGAAATCTAGTTAAGGGAGATCAGTCTTGTTGAAAGGATGTTCGGAATTGAACTACTAGAGTCTGCAATGCAAAATGTGTCAGCGAATGTAATCGTTGATAATTCATGATGGCCATCTGCTCCAACCCAGATGCTACGGATGGGGGCATTGCGGGTGGGGGACAGAGATGATAAACTCTGGATGAGGAATCTTCCATCTTTCGCCTACACTGTGAAACCCTTCATTACCATTATCTTATCTGGCAGTCAACAGGGGGCTTTGCTCTTGTATAAAAATTGCTTAGCAATGAAAATGAATCAGGAAGGATTACAGTCAATAAGCAATAATTTTTCAGACTCAAGATGTAAAGGGTAAATCAGTAGCTATAGTAATCATGCCTGTTTTTGTGTGGCCCCTCAGCAGTGACTCCAGTGTTTGGACAGAATGCTAAAAAACAAACTTAGTAACAGTCTTTCCAGAAAGTTGGGACATGGGTTGATCACTTTGCCACGGGCAAGTTCTTTGGTCCCTCCCTTACAGGTTCTGATTAAGTTCATCCTACATGGAGTGTGGGAATCTGCACTGCTCTTGGGTCCCTGGGTATTTCAGGGCCCACTGTGAGAGGTGCCACCATATCCCTCATTTCTGTCACGTCCATCAGGTAACCAGGGCTTTTAACCTGGGAAGAACAGGTTAGTGAGTGCATTAACCTGTAGGTTGCCAGCCCAAATCTCTTTCTAACCAGTCGCTGGCTCTATTGCATCAGGGATTCTAAAATGATGGTGAAGTACAGAGGTAATGCTGAGTCCAATCTTTTCAGAAAAAGTCCCACATTTTATCTTTTTTCAATACTGAGAGCTATTAGTGTGTCAGAATAGGCAGGAGTAACCCTGCCTAGTCTGTGGCCTGCTGGCTTATAAAAAGGAGTATAAAACCAGCTGCCCAGGCCCTAAACTAGCTGCTGCTTTCATCTTCTGTCAACACCCAAACAAAGCTACTTACTTTCATGGAAGGCAAAATCCATGTAGAAAAGATCGAAGTTTGTAAATTTCTCACTGGCTGCAATTTTTTTCAGTGTGTTGGAGAGTTGCTCTGCTCTCTAAAGAGAGAGGAAACAGGGAGAATTCCATGAAATCTAGATTTTGACTTTAGTGACATAATTCAGGCAGAACAAAGAAATCGATCTTCCCCATCCTACTCTACTTTCATTTCTCCAAGCCATCAGCAGACAGCTGCTCTGCACATTAAATTCTAGTCACATACAAATGGCCAATGAACGTGAGACAAATGTTAACATTCTTTAGGAACTGAATCAGTGTAAATTAGTGATACTAGTTTTTCCACCCGTGGGATTGGCAAAAGTAAGATAACCATGATATTGAATGTTGTCATGGGTAGGTGAATGAGAATGTCATTAGCTTAACTTTTCTAGAGAGCAATTTGGCAATATGGATCAAATCCTTAAACACGGACATACCCTTTGGCCCAGTAATTCTTCTAGGAATTTGTCTCAAGGGAATAGAGATGTACACAGAGACTTACACCTTTAGATATACGATTGTTCATCACAATGCTATTTATCATAGTATAAATTTGGAAACAATCTAAATGTCCAACACCAAAGGATGAAATAAATCATAATATATTCACATGTATAAACTTCAGAATGGTTCCAATATTATGGTGTGGAGAAACAATTTATGAACACTGGAAAGCATAACAGAGTATGTACATTCTCATACTATGTAGGCAAAAAACCAAATATATTGATCTCTGGAAGTGGTAATGGGAAGACATACACATATACTAACTTTGGGTGGTGAAATTTTGGGTGATCTTTGTTACTTTTCTTTTTTTGTGTGTGTTCTCCAAGTTCAAAAAATTGAAATATGCTTTCTATGTAAAAAATGTTCAGTAAGTCTTTTGTTCATTCATTTTTGTTTTTGAGACAGGGTCTTGCTCTGTCACCCAGGCTGGAATGCAATGGCGCAATCTTGGCTCACTGCAACCTCCGCCTCCTGGGTTCAAGTGATTCTCATGCCTCAGCCTCCTGAGCAGCTGGGACCACAGGTGCCCACCATGACACCTGGCTAATTTTTGTATTTTTAGTAGAGATGGGATTTCATCATGTTGATCAGGCTGGTCTCAAACTCCTGACCTCAAGTGATCCTCCCACCTCAGCCTCCCAAACTGCTGGGATTACAGGTGTGAGCCACTGTGTCCGGCCTCAATAAGTGTTTTACAAAGAGATTATTCACCATCCATGAAAGAAGTGCAAACCATATTCTTTGAGCAATGGATTCCCTGAGAGAAGGGAGGAAGGTTCTTATTTACCTCGGGAGAACTTCTTTCATGCATAGGGGCCAAACTCAACCAACTCTCTCCAAATCCACAACTATGCCTAGGACCAGCTTTAAAAGGTGTGTGTCTGTGTGTGTGTGCGCACGCGCATGCACAGGGGGGTGTTTGTGCACACATGTGGACACACGAGAGAGACAGTGGCTGAGAAACACAGTCAGCAGAGGACAGACCCAGAGTGAGACAGAAGGAGACAGGGTGTACCAGGTTCTCTTGGCTCCCCAAGCACCTGGAAGGTTTGATCTTGTTATTCACCAGCTTGGAGACCATCCCCCTGCCAGGATCCCATCCCCAGTGAAAACTCTGCAGCAAACACATGGAAAGAATGATCAAAGATGGTATCAAAAGGCCTGTGACAGTCGTACCTCTGAAGTGAGAGTCCGCAACGTCTTGTTGGAAGACATCCAGCCGTGGCAGGGGCTGACCTGAGAGCGGGAAAACACTTTGATTACAGAGGAACAGGGTGGGTTAGCAGGCCTTGAAGCAAGCCAGTGAGTGCTCACCTGGAGGCAGTTCAGGAAGGAGTACAAGTGCGCATAGGTCACGTCTTTATTTAGCTGGCCTGGAAAACAGAACGGTCTGGTAGATTGCAGGCACTCAGCAATAGCAGCATTTAGAGACACTCGGGGGCTTCCCTGCCTCCCTTGCAGAAGGTCGCTATTTCCAGCGGATTCCCCTGATTTTTCATGCAACATTGCTCTTGAAGAATGCCTGTGCTTTCCTCCTTTCTGAGCCTCTAGAAATTCAGACCCAGAGTTGGGGAGGAGCCCTGAGGAGCTCACTTCCATATAGAGCTCTGGACATGGGCCAGGATGGGGCTGGGGGAACTGGCCTCATCTGGACTCAGGAAAAAGAAATCCAAGTATCCTACAGCTTGATATGAATCAGGATGCCTTGAATAAAGCCCTTTAAGAGCAGCACTTTCTCCTGGCCGTGGTATGAAACACTCCCTGCATGGGGAACAGGGAACATTCGAAGTGGCAGTTGACCTAATTCTCTTTTCGAGGTTTATGGAACGCACAGGTCTGACCAAATTATGCCATGCCAAGGGCCTGGCAGGACATTCTGAGTATCTGAAACTCTGAGCACGTAGTTCCCTACAGTTGGTGAGCTGAAAGCTGTACAAAATGCTCGGGTGGCCTGTGGGATGGGGAGGCAATACCTCATGTCTCCCTTTGTGGCACTGGATTAAGGGCTGTCCAGTGGATATCTTATTTGACCCTAATTAGTAGACACCCTTATTTTCTAGTGCAGGTTACAGAGGTACATAACAAAGTGAAAAGTACCAGATGAGGATTCATCCAGTTTTTCTGAACATCAGCTATAGTCCCAGAATCTGTGGGGGTGATTTCTTCTCTCTTCCAACACTGCTCCACCCCGTCTCCAGCATATACTCCCCCCGAAGCAATTAAACTTTCATGCTGTGGCTGACACACAAAATCCAGGGCTCCCCAAAGCTCGGGGGTGAATGACTGACACTGTATCCATTAACACTGCTCACACTCTTGAACACATAAAGGAAGATAATAGGACCTATCTCAGAATGAAGAGAAAGATTGAAGGTGATAGAACACAGTCTTATTTTTCACTTATACCTCTGGTTAGTTAGACTGGAAGATAGATTCAATTTTCTTGTCATAGAGAAAAAATTTATTATCTCTCTGTGTGGTTGAGTGAGTCCCAGGACGGGAAAGCCACAGGCTTATTACGGCCACTAAAGTCACAGTGACCTGCCAGGTCTGTCTTCCATACAGGCTTCTGTATCTTCACATTTTAAATGAATCCCAAGCCCTCGGCTTTTGTCCTTGCTTTCATTTTATGGGTCCAACACTGAGCTCCCATTTTCCCCCAAGTTCCTACTTCTATCCACCGAGGCTTTGTTCCATTGTGTGTGTGTCTGTGTGTGTGTACTTTTTGTCATTTGCTCCCTTCCTGAATGTGTCTCAGCTGCACTGACTGACATTTTCCTTCTCCACTCCCCATCCTGGGTTCTCCACGTGCTCTTCTGGCTTGGTTCTTCCCCTTTGAGGGCTGCCACTGAGTTGTGACCTTCCGTCTCCCCACCTTCTGTGAGGGCCCAGTGTCTGGCTGCTTTTGCCTTGGTGCCTGGTGCCATCTTGTCTCTATGTTGGAACTGGGGCCTCATAGTGAAACTTACGTAGCCTGGCTGGGGCCCTGCCACCCTTCTGGGCCCTGGTGTGTCCCCTCCCCCTGAGGGGCAGCATCTCTCTGCAGCCTGATAGGAGGTGGCACCTCATGCCTGACCGTGCACTCTCCCCTCCCCACCTTCAGGCCTGGATTGCTCTGATATCCAGAGAGGCCGGAGTTTGTCCTGCTCCTGTGACACTGGGAACTTCATGGTTGACTCCTCCTTGGGGATGAAGGCCCGCCTTGGCTTTGCTCCACCCTGCCTGACGCCCTCTCCTGCTGTCCTTCTGCTGATGGCCAGCACAGTTCCCAATGAGACCCTGAGGGGTACCCCCCTTCTGCACCTCCTCAGTCCCTCTCCCTTTCCCTCTGTCTCCTGGCTCCACCTCCAGCTGGACGTGATTGAGAAAGGGAACATCCTCAGTGTGGGTGGCTAGGTCTGCTGAACAGGATGAGGGCACATTAGGTGCATTTAGAAGAACCTGGGAAAGTTGTAATGAGTCAGTGTCCCTCCTCTCTGGTGTTTCTGCCTGTTAGAGGGTAGGGACTCTGGGGCTGGTCATGTGGAAGATTGGCTAGGGGTGCTTGCGATGGACTTATGGTTTCGAGGAAGGGAAGAGGGAAATGGTTCTTACACTATTTGCTTTATTGGCAACATCAGTTGGTCTCCCACTCTTTCTTTTTAAGCTTTGGCTTTGATCTTTGTTGCTTTAATGTAATTTTGGCCTATTGATCCTACCTCTATGGGGTGCATGAAGAGAGGCTGTGTCTGTGACTCCCTGGTTAGAAAGTCCATCTGGATAGGAAAGCTGATCAAGAAAGCCCAGGGGCAGGCCAGGAGGACTGTCTCACAGTGGCCAGGAATCACCAAGGGCCGAGGAGCTCTGTCTATGTGTATCTGTGTGTCTTCATGTGTGTCTGTGTGTCTGTGTCTCTGTGTGTCTTCGTGTGTGTCTGTGTATGTGTGTTTCTGTGTCTGTGTCTCTCTGTGTTTGTGTTTCTGTGTCTGTGTGTGTGTATGTGTCTGCATGTGTGTATCTGCGTGTGTGTGTGTCTCTGTGTGGGTGTGTGTGTCTGTGTTGTGGGGAGCCAGTGGGCTGTCCCAGTGTGAAGATCAAAGGCCTGTTCTTCTCCAGCTGGCTAAGTGTTGGCTTGTGTCTTCGTAATCTGTAACTTCTTTAGGGCAGGGTCTCTGGTAACTATTTAATTTTGGAAACATAATTGAAATCTTAGGTACCACAGAAACCTAGAACCAACAAAGATCAGTCACATCTCCATGAAATGCCATGTAAATGTATTAAAACCACATTCATTCAGACAGAGGAAAAGCGCATGATAAAATAGAAACACCAAGGTATTTTAAAAAGGCATTTGGTTTCAAGTTTAAGAGTAATTGGGGCAAGATTAAGTTGCTGTTTTGTGGCAGAAGCTCTTCAAGGCAGGCCCACTGGCAGATGAATTTGCAGCCAGGAGTCCCTGGCTTCCTCCCTATCGTCTAACCTTTGGGATGGCCCCAGAAGGCCTGTGACTTGCCCGTCCTCATGAGCACTCGGCACGTTCGCTATCAGGGTCCATGTGCTGCGTTCCTCAGTGGAGCTGTCTTTTCTCTCTCATTTAAGGACACAGACTGCATCTTATGTCATCTTTACTCAAAAGCACAGAATAGGAATCTCAGAGATATTTCTGGAATGATCGCCTTCCTTACGGACCATGGCTGAGAGGACTTGTGACCGGCCAAGCTTGACTTTTCTCGAAAGACCCATGCCAGTAGAATCCCAGGGTGTGAGGCTTGCTGTCTGGTAATTCCTCACGAAGACAATAAAGTCCCACCAGGAATTTTAGTGACTAGGAGAGGCTGTGGGATGCCCCAGCCCTCAGCAGCCAGTGACAGACTGGTAGTGAGTCACAAACCCGGCTGAGAACGAGGGATGCCAGGCAGAATTGGTCACCCCCTCCTCCCTGGCAGGAGTAAGACAGCCACCTGCTCTTGTTCTGGGCCCCTGTGACCTGCTGAGTGGTGCTGTGGCATTTAACCCTGCCTTCACTGGTGGCTCAGGCTGAGTTCCTGCCTGTCCTTCTGAGGGGAAAGGAGGAAGCAGAGACTGTGTCACTGACCAGGGGGTCTCCTACCATGCCTCTGTTTCCTGAACGCTTTCTTAATTTTTAAGAAGTGGCCCAAGTCAAGTCTAGACACTATGATCACCACATTTCTAGGCCCAAATAAGTGGAACTCGTCCCCTTCCCCCCTACTTTTTTTTCTTTGCACAGCACCTTTAGCACAACCCTTAACGTGGTGCCCAGAAATCAGACTTGAGTGTCCAGCTGCTGACTAAGATGAGATCTATGGTGGCCTAGGCAGAGCAACCAAACCCTGAGGCTAGCCCAGCATGAACCCTGCTTCACTGCTGACTCAACATCCAAAGACAGGGTTTGGGGTGAGAGCAGAAGAGAGACAGCGCAAGAGCAATAAATAAAATTACTGTGGTTAATGAAAGCATCTATCTCACAGGGTCGTTTTAAGAATCACACCTTCTCGGCTGGGCACAGTGGCTCATGCCTGTAATCCTAGCACTTTGGGAGTCCGAGGCAGGTGGATCACCTGAGATCAGGAGATCGAGACCAGCCTGGCCAACATGGTGAAATCCCATCTCTACTAAAAGTACAAAAAATTAGCCCGGTGTGTTGGCAGGCGCCTGTAATCCCAGCTACTTGGGGGGCTGAGGCAGGAGAATTGCTTGAAGCTGGGAGGCGGAGGTTGCAGTGAGCTATGATTGCGCCACTGCACTCCAGCCTTGGTGACATAGTGAGACTTCATCTCAAAAAAAAAAAAAAAAAAAAAAGAGGCCGGGCACGGTGGCTCAAACCTGTAATCCCAGCACTTTGGGAGGCCGAGACGGGTGGATTACGAAGTCAGGAGATCGAGACCATCCTGGCTATCACGGTGAAAACCCGCCTCTACTAAAAAAAATACAAAAAACTAGCCGGGCGAGGTGGCGGGCTCCTGTAGTCCCAGCTACTCAGGAGGCTGAGGCAGGAGAATGGCGTAAACCCGGGAGGCGGAGCTTGCAGTGAGCTGAGATCCGGCCACTGCATTCCAGCCTGGGCGACAGAGCGAGACTCCGTCTCAAAAAAAAAAAAAAAAAAAAGAAATAAAGAAAAAAACAGAATCACACCTTCCTAATGTGGCCCCCTCTTGAAGTCTATCATCTTGTGTGAGTTACGAGTCCTGTCAAAGGAGGCCTGGGGATGCTGGACAAATCCCATCTACTTCCCCAGCCTTTCTAGGAAGGACCCTGATGCTTCGTTGAGAAATTTATAATTTATTTCCCATGGCAACCAGGCAGCAGAGATAATTTAGGATGTGAATAATTACTTATCAGCATCAAACAAATTTTAGATGGTTTCAGCTTTCTCCTTGATTGGATTTTTTTTTTCAAAACTACTGATGTTTCTATAGAACAAACTTGTTCTATCTTTTTCTTCTTCCCAGTTTGTGCTGTGACAAGCTAGGGTGTGATTAGCAGCCAGAAAGAGTCCACTTGAGAAGCACAAAGCAAAGTCTAGAGCAGTCTCTCAACCTTGTATGACTGTCTTGATTTTGGGGTGCTGTCTCGTGCATCGTAGATGTTTAGCAAACCCCTTGGCCTCTATTTGCTAGATGCTAGTTGCACCCCTCTTCTTCTGAGACTGAGTTTCACTCTTGTTGCCCAGGCTAGAGTACAATTGTGTGATCTCAGCTCCCTGCAACCTCCCCCTCCTGGGTTCAAGCGATTCTCTTGCCTCAGTCTCCCAAGTAGCTTAGATTACAGGCGCCTGCCACCATGCCCGGCTAATTTTTTTGTACTTTTAGTAGAGACAGGGTTTCACCATGTTGGCCAGGCTGGCCTTGAACTCCTGACCTCAGGTGATCCGCCCACCTCGGTCTCCCAAAGTGCTGGGATTACAGGCATGAGCCACTTTACCCAGCCTAGTTGCACCCCTCTTCTATCTCCAAATGTGATAAAAGCAGGGTGGGGGTGAGTGGGTTGCCACCAGTTGAGAATCACTGGCCTAGAGAATCCACAGAAGTGGACAAATCCCCCAATCATCCTTTTTTCTTCCCTCAGTCCTTTTCAAATTGCATGGAGTCATTCTTACATACCATTCTTACATTCTTTTTTTTTAAGACAGAGTTTTTGTTCGTTGGTTGGTTGGTTTGTTTTTTACTCTTGTCACCAAGGCTGGAGTGCAATGGTGCGATCTCGGCTCATTGCAACCTCCACCTCCTGGGTTCAAACGATTCTCTTGCTTCAGTCTCCTGAGTAACTGGGATCACAGGCGTGTGCCACCATGTCCTGCTAATTTTTGTATTTTTAGAAGAGACGAGGTTTCACTATGTTGGCCAGGCTTGACTTGAACTCTTGACCTCAGTTGATCCACCCGCCTTGGCCTCCCAAATTGCTAAGATTACAGGCATGGCACCGTGCCTGGCCTCATTCTTATATTCTTACACACATTTTTCCTTCCTCCAGTCCTTTCCAAATTGCATGGAGTCATTCTTACATTTGGTCTCATATTTATGAAATCAAACATGTCTCATAAATCAAGTGAATTGCATGGCATATCGGAAAGAATTTATGGAGGTGGCGTAACCGGAGTTCGTGGAAAGAAAACGGGATTTGAAATCAGAAAAATGGAAGTCAAGTTGCTATTACTGAGATGGAGTAAATTGGGAACAAACTTCCCTGCCCGCAGCTTCTCTTTCCAAAGCATTTCTTAGTGTCGGAGAGACATTTGGAAATCTGAAAGAATCAGTTGAGGGCAGATGTACAATTTTCATATCCCGTGCTTCAAAGAGACATTCTTAGCCCAGGTTGGTGTCTTTTATGCATGCAAGGTTGGTGTCCTTTATACATGCAAAGCAGCCCAGAATGGAGTGAAGTTCCATGTGTGATTATGTTATTTCTAACGGGGCGTGGTCAAAGTTGCATGAACAGGAAGAATATGCTCTACTTAGGTGAGGCTGGACAGTATTTTGCTTGGATAATAATATTTGTGATACATGAGTAAGTCAAGAGGAAAATGGTTTCATTCTTATTGGTGGAGAATCTGGAATGTGGGTGACCACTGTTGTCCCTCCAATTAAGAGACCAGAGCTCTTTGAGAGCTAGCTAAAGGACCCTTACTCTTTTCCCAGGTGGGGAGAGCAGAATTTCCTAAGGGAGAAGTAGGGGGGCTGTCTTAGACAGGGACTGCAGGAAGAGGACAAGGGAAGACTGGAAAGATATACAAAGTTGTATATGCAAGAAAAGGCTCTTGATGGCCTGAAATGGGAAATCTTGCTCCCCACCTGCCCCCTCTAAGGAGGGCGTGAAGGAATGAGTTTCAGGTCTTCTTTGAATTTCTCACCTGACTCCTAAGAAGGTGCTTGGACTGCTAGCACCTTTTAGTGGGTTGGGCTCAGGAGGTGAGTGGGGTAACACCAGGGAAAGGATAGCCCCTTCTTCATGATAGATTGGTGCAGGTGCTGTCAATATGGGGCTGAGAGGAGGGTACCCAGGCCTCTTCTTATAGATGCTCATCAGGGAAGACTTAGGCCAGCTCCCTGCTCCTCTTCCTTGCTCAATTTTCTTCCTATGGCACTTATCACCTTCTGACATACTTTTGAGTCATTCTCCCACTGTAATATAAGCTTTCTGTGGGCAGGAACTTAAGACTATTGTGTTTTCTGCTGGTTACCCTGTGCCTAGAACAGTGCCTGGCACATAGTTGGCACTTACTAAATACGTTCTCCTCTGAAATACAGAAAGCAGAGCCCTGCTACAACATATTCAGTGAACTCTGTGATATTTGGCAAGCTACCTAACCTTTCTGAGCATTGGTTTTTTCATCTATAAAATGAAATGATTGTGGTTGATGAAAACATCTATCTCACAGGGTTAAGGATCACACCTTCCTAATGTGAATTACTAGCACTTTTATGTTATTTGTACAGTATCAAGAATATTTGAGTTGCCATTAGAAAGTTCCTGGAACATTTTAAAGCCTTTCAGAGCTAAGGACCCCAAGAGAGTGTAGAAGCAGGAAACGAGCAGGCTGGAGGACCATGCTCTAGAGAATTCTAACAGGCCACCAGGAGGCACTTACCACTGAGGTTCAGAGAAATCCCTGTCTTTGACTCATGGGTGTGTCTCCTGTTTGGGATTCCTCAGCTCATTTTACATTTCACCTTCTGTTAGAGGAATTTCCTGGTTTGAGCGCTTACCTTTCAATGTGTCCTAATTCTTCGTGAATTACTTCTGCCCTTTCTGCCTTTGGATCTGATTCTGCCCACCTCTGGATAATGACCTTTAGATACTGCACCTGGGGGCTCTTGCCTTCATCAGCTCTGACCCATGTTCCGTGATGGCATTTTAGGCACATTTCTATATGGTTTGAACCATATATACATTGAACTGTATATACATTGACGTTATTAAAGAGTAAAAGAATCTTCAAACTGATACCGAGAGGATGATATCTGTTGTGCAAATTATCCCAGAGAAAAGTTCCATCTGGTAAGCCATACAAAATAACATGGCTGCCATCGGGCAGGTGGGAATTTAGATGCTTCAGAGTCTGCATGACGTTGGAGTAGAGTTTCTCAGGAGTGGTCATGGCTGGGACTGGGTCACTCTTCCTGTTGGTGGAATAAATAGAAAATATCTTGGTTGATTGTAAGGATAGATGCATGCAAGTTGCACGCAAATACAAGATGCATCACACACACACACACACACACACACACACACACACACACACAGAATGTGGTGGTCATTGGAGCTATTTGCAAAATATTCCTGGATTTCCACCTTTCTGGCACATAGACTGTACTTACTGACTTCCTTGTGGTTGAGCGGACTATGGACTATGTGACAAACGTGTCATATTTGGTGATGAGACACCTTCTAGAATGCTCTTTTTCTTTGCATGGGTATAGGCAATGTTCTAGATAGCTGCTTCACCAATCTGAGTCTCAGAACAGAGTCCCATGGTGATCTCTGATGGACAAGTAGTATGAGAGAGACATAAACATTTGTTGCTTTATGCTACTAAGATTTTAGGGGCCGTTTGTTCCTTTGTTCCTGTAGCATAAACTCACTGGCCTGACTCACACAGTGTTTGAAATGAAAGGGGTCTGGTATTGCTTATGATTTATTTGACACTTTGAGGTCTGTAATTTGGTCTTTAAAACTTTTCAGATGTATCACAGCTAGGAAACAGAATCTTATTGACCAAGTTATATGTCCACACTATAGCTTGCTTTTTATTCTTCAGTTTCTATACTGGATTTGGACTTGCATGCATTTCCTGATGGATTTCTATTCCAGGCTATACCCTGCAACAACATTTCCAACCATCAATTCCAGCCTGCATTGTTGTCTTTATATAGTAGTGCTTGTGCTCTCTAGAGGGTATTTGATTTTTTAAATTATATTTTCTTATTTCGTAAAAGTTAGTAAAATAAAAAAAGAAAGTGCTGAAAGTAATTATGAGAGACACAGTCCTAAAATCAAAGCATGTCAGACAGAGGTGAAGCTCCTAAGTGAGCTGAAAGTGATGAATCTTTGCCCTCAATCAGACATTTATTGAATTTAAGCTGACTTACTTATTTTCATTTGGTTTGGAAAAGAAGTAAGGAATGTACAAAATACTGCAAAGACATCATTTAAAGTTATGTTAAAATTGCACCCATTGGTTGATTTAAAGTTATGTTTAATTGGGTGCTATGCTCACCACCTGGGTGATGAGGTCATTTGTACTCCAAACCTCAGCATCATACACTATATCCGTGCAACGAATGGGCACATGTACCCCCGAATCTAAAATAAAAGTTGAAATTATTTAAGAAAGCTACGTTAAAAAGGCAAATGGTGCTAAAGTATTTTTGGCATTAGTATATGTTTATTACTGTTCATTTCTTTGTACAACTGACTTTTGGACACACCTTCAGGAACACATCAAATTTGGATTAGTATCCTAAGCTGCATTAACTCGGGAGTAGAATACAGAATCTCCTAGGGTTTTCATCCACTCTTTAGGCTCTAACTGCCTGTCTTTTCCCTAAATGGAACAATGCTACAGTGTTACTTTCTCTTTTGCATACTTAAAATTCCAGTTTCCCCAGTGATCCTATAGTGGGTAAAATAGTGTCCCTGAGAATGTGACATTACTTGAAAATAGGGTCTTTATGGTTGTCATTAGTTAAGATGAGGTCATGTTGGATTAGTGTGGGCCTTAAATTCAATGACTGAATCCTTATAAGAAGAGGAGAGGACACACAGACACACACCAGGAAGAAGGCCTTGTGAAGACAGAATCAGACACTGGGGTTACAGCTGTCATGAGTCAAAGAGTGCTGAGGATCGCTGGGAGCCACCAGAAGCGGAAAGACAAAAGGAAGGAGTTTTCCCTGGAGCTTTCAAAGGGAGTATAGCCCCGGGGACACCTTGATCTTGGACTTTCAGCATCCAGAACTGTGATGAAATACATGTCTGCGTTTTGAGTCATCCAGTTTTGGTACTTTGTTATGGCAGCTCTAGGGAACTTAAGACAGATTGTGAACCAGATAAAATAAGTCCATCACTCAGAGGCTGGACCCGGGGCATAAGTGATATGGTAAGAGGGGACAGAAAGGGGCCCCCAGGGATCCGTAATTCTCACTTTTAAAGGAGTTCATAAATGAATATCGGCACTGCCTTTTTGGAGGTCAGTTTTTCAAAATATATCCAAATTTGAAGTTGGCTTAACTTTTGACCTTGGAATTTCACTTTCAAGAAGTTATCCTATAGTAACATTTCCACAAATGTACAAAAATGTGCATACAAATACTGCAATACTGCTTGATGTAGTGTGTAACTGGAAAAAGACAGAAGCTTGAATACATAAATTATGGTATACCTGTGCAATAGAACTCTATATAGCTGTTAGGAAGAATCAAATAACTAGATATCATTGGTTGCACAACATTGTGAACTGGGAATGCCCCTGAATTTTTGCTTTAGAATGGTTAGTCTTACATTACATGAATTTCACCTGAATAAAAAAAAAGAAGTAATTTGTATGTATTAATATAGAAAGATGGCTAAAAGTATTGCTGACTACAACAATACTTCTGGTGCTGTGGGGGTAGCCAGTAGGGTGGCAGTTGTGGTTGGTGTATGTGCTTCTAAACTATGTAATGGATCGCTAGAGTCTCCTAAGGGGGGAGAAAAAAAGGTGTCTAATTTTACAAACTCTCAGGGTGTAGAACTGCATGCTAAATTCATGTTTTCCATTGTCGGGAAAAAATTACACTATTTTAAAAATAAAAATCTTCCGAGCCTGATAAAAAGCAGCTTCAGCAATTTGCGACTAGGTTGCCTACCTACTAGAGCAGAAGCATGGGGAGGGGCTTTGACTTGATTCCTATATGCATAGAAGCAGCACTGAAGAACCTGCCCAAAGTACTCAGGTTCTGTATTCACTGTGTGTTTGAAGTGTGACAGCAAGGGTGAAATGAAAGGCAAGTCGGGAATCTATAGCCTTTCTTCTGTCATTGGTAAAGCTGGCACACACTGCCTATTCACTTTTGTCTTGCCACACTTTTTTTTTTTTTTTCTGCTGATACAGCCACGCTTTGGCACAAAGCAATTATGCTGAGCTAATGTTCTCCAACTACATAAGGGCAAGATGAGTTAAGATGGACAAAGTCTTCCCAAATCCCCATTAAATAATTATTTTTTTGGTTAGAAGCACAACCCTGATGCTAAACGAAGAATCTGAGCTAATTTGTACTTATGAAACGGCACCCACAAATTAAGCAAGCATAATCAACATGGCTAGTTGCTAAGTGAAATAAAAATGGAAGCCTTGGTTCCATAATGAAACATTCCCCAGTTACCTTTGTTCCACCTTGTACAACTATAGAATTTACTTCTAATTTGCATAGCAAAATCAACCAACTCTTAGCTCAGGTAAGGGCAAGGGAGTCTATGTGACTCATGGGGCGATCACCCCTTTCAGATGTCACAGAAGGTGCCTTTTGACTTCTGTCCCTGAAAAGTTTTCCTTTCTTTTTTCTTTTCTTTTCTTTTCTTTTTTTTTTTTCTTTTCTTTTTTTTTTTTGAGATGGAGTCTCACTTTGTCACCCAGGCTGGAGTGCAGTGGCGCAATCTCGGCTCACTGCAACCTCTGCCTCCCAGGTTCAAGTGATTCTCCTGCCCCAGCCTCCCAAGTAGCTGGGACTACAGGTGCGCACCACTACACTCAGCTAATTTTTCTATTTTTAGTAGATACAGAGTTTCACCATGTTGACCAGGATGGTTTCAATCTTTTGGCTTCGTGATCTGCCTGCCTCAGCAGGTGTAATCCAAAGTGCTGGTATTACAGGGATGAGCCACCGCGCCCGGCTCCCTGAAAAGTTTTCAATGCCATTTTGATCTGTGTACTCTTTCTCCTCTGGTGATGTCTGGGGGAGACTTTGTGCTAGTATCCTGGAGACCAAAGAACCCTAGTGGTTGAGAACTATCTCCTAGGTCTCGTCTCTCTGGTGTCTGCCAAAGGACGAATAGGCTGGGCTGAAGGTGTCTAACCCTTTTCAACCCAGATGTCCCAGGCACCTGCCACCCCGGATTTGTCTGCTCACCCCAGGGTCCCAGCGCCCCTTCTCATACACCAGCGAGCTCACCCCAGACACTCAGATGGATAGGTGAGAGATCGAGAGTGCTTAGCTAACAAAGAAGATGTGAAAACCAGCCTGGGGCACAGTGGCCACATTGGGGAAAATAATGAGAGAGAAATTTGTGCTCACTGACATGCTCTCACACATGTCAGGAACACATGGCCAGGCTTGGAACAGATGAACAGCCTCACTCCTGAGGGTGACTCTGAAGCCTGTCCTGCCCTAATGAATTGTGTCTGATCAGGCAAAATAAGCCTGATCATTTCATTACCCTGGCAGGTAAGCCAGTCAGATTTCACCTGGCTGGTGCCAGAGAGAGGTGTCCCTTCTCAAGGAAGAAACTGATCAGCATGTGCAGAAAATCAGCTTCCTAGAGCCACAGCTAAAGCCCAGATCACTGTAGTGGTCAAGAGCTCACACCTCACTCACAGCTAGCATTTGTGTTTTTGAAACACCCAGGTAAGAGAGTTAGCCCTTTTCTTCATGCCAGCCAGTTGCAATCACATTGTTGGGCTCTCATCCAATCCCCTTGAAGAGATATCTTTTTTTTTTTTTTTTAAATAGAGACAGCATCTTGCTCTATCACCCAGGCTGGAGGGCGGTGGTATGATCATAGCTCACTGCAGGGTTGAACTCCTGGGCTCAAGCTATCCTCCCACTTTAGCCTCCTGAGTAGCTGGGGAGAAGGGGCATTGATACAGACTGGGAATGGGATGAGGCCTCCCATATTACCCCATGCATAGAGATACATTAAACATCCCTTAAAAGTGGGCATGGCCTGGAACATGCTGGCTGGTTGGAACCTCCTTATCATTCCCTTTGCTACCCATGTCTCTCACTGAGGAGTCTGGGAGAGAGCATTCCTCTGAGCAGCAGGGGCTCTTTCCATTCCCTTCCCTGCTGGCTTTTCTATCATCTGAATAAATAGCATGGATGGTTTCTCACTAGTCTAGGCTCCTTGGGGCCAGTGACCTGTCAGTGCCTCGGCTGGCTTCCTCTTAATGCAGTGCTGGTCAACTGCCCAGGGCATAACCTGAAGCATTGGCATTGAAGAAAAACAATAGCTGGGGGCAGACAGGCACAGACACCCTGTGTGGGTGGTCCTGGCTCTCTCCATAAGATGAAAATGTATAATTTATACTTTCTGTGTATACTCCTAAGAATATGATGCTTGTATGAATGCCATCTGTCCTGTGATTGTCCACTGTAACAAATGAAACTATATCCATTTATGGGGCTAGTGCTAGATGCTTGTATAATTCTATGGAATTTCCAGCAATTACCATGCTCATTTCAGGGATGCTGCACTGGGATGTTGGCGAAGGGTTGTCACTGGCCTTTATGATTGGACATTCTGAGGCCATTCCCGTTTCCCACTACTGCCTCTGTCACCCCAAGGTTCTGCTGCTGTAGCTCCCCAACATTTGCCTTGTTTTCAGGAATGTTTCTCCTTTCATATTATTCACATTACATAGCCCTCAAGGGCAGTGATCGGAAAAGCGCAAACGAAGCTGAGTTAGCCTAAATCAAATTGAGCTTGGTTACAATGAGAAAGCCAGGTTCTCTAAGTGATCTTTCTTTTTGACTTCCTGATGCTAAAAGCTATCTTTCAATCATGACCCTCATTCATGTAACCAGTATTTGTTGAGTAACTAGATGAATTTAGAGAATCGAGAAAAAAGCACATAAATGTGTTACTTCAGTAAGAGCTAGCATTGTCATAGAAAAAGAAAAGAAAAAAGTCAAGCAAATATCCTAAAACTTGTTCCAGGACAGACTTATTATGTAACTCCTTGCTGCTCGAGCTTTTTATAAAATCCCTTTGCTCATTTTGGGAAATCTACTCCACCTTGACGTTCTGGCAGATGGGGAGGTATAGTTGCCATCTGTCTTTATTTTTTTAACCCCTCCACAGGACATCACAAAGTGGGCACCACAGGGACATCCCATACTGCCAACTCTGTTCTTTCACCCAAATGCTTGCTGCTTCTCTACCCAGATCCCCAGCAGGGGAGAGGCTGACACAGGTCTCTGGCTGATGTCTGCCTGCCCTTTAGCTCTTTGGGAAAGGAAAAGTAGGACTGGGCTGGAGGGGTCTGGGTAAGCAGGTTTTGCTGGAAAAGTACAGTTTCAGGGATTTTGGCTTTTGGAGCCAGAGTCTCTTTCTGCACATGTTCTTTATTCAGTATAGTCAGTTTGTTCTCTGTTCCTCTCTGGAAGGACATGCTCTGGGGGCTGGGGGAGCAATGACTGATCTGACCATAGCCTTGTTCTGTTTCATGATGGCAGCTAGAGCCTGAAGCACGGTGTTTCTCCTTCCATTAGCTCCTTGATGTCAGGGGCTGTGGCTTCTCTGCCATTGTATCCATATCCTAGAGCCTGGCACAATGCTTAGCACATCGTGGTGCTCACCGTATACTTAAAAAAGTGAGTGAGTCAAAGAGAAAATAAGACAGTGTGAACTATAGACAGGGAATGGAATTTGGTTAGATAACCTGGTTTGGCTCCCAGTTTTGACGCTCAATACCAGAACAGGCAAGTTCCTTTCCTTGCCAAATCAGTTTCCTCATCTGTAAAATGGGACAATCATCCTTGCCTCTTAGGGCTGCTGGGAGGATGGAATGATATAGAGTGATGTACCTCTTGGTTTATGGCAGTCCTTAAAGGGTGTTTGTTGTTTACTGGAAAGTCCCAGGTGGCTCTTCACAGACCTTGGTGCCAAGCATGTAGCCTTGGCCAACTTGGGGTTCTGGGGCCAGCAGCAAACCAGCCTAAGGGCACCAAGGTGACATCTGGCATATCAGAGTCTCTGGATCATTATGGAATCTCCTCCCCTGAACGCACTTCACTGATTATGTCTGCATCTCCTTTGCCATCTGAATTTTATCTGTGCGGGCAAACACACTTTAATACTATTGAGTTTTGTTTTCAGCACGGGCTTGGAAAGCGTGGCAAGTGAAATACAGGAAAGCAAACAGGGGAGTGAGCAGGATGGCCCACTTCTAGCACAGTTGGGGTGGAGGCCAGCTCTGCCATTAATCAACCCTGTTGCCTCAGGCAAATCATGAACTTCTTTTGGCCTTACTTTCCTGTTTCCTAAAATAGTGAGTGGGTGGCTATTGCTACTGGGGAGTTGCTCTAAATCCTGTCTCATCATTTTTTTTTTTTTTTTTTGGCCATAATCACAGGACAGATGGCATTCATACATGCATCATATTCTTAGGGGTGTACGCAGATTTTGAGAAACCTCCCCAAATGTTATATAGGAACTAAGGAATTCACCATTTTGAAGTCACTACCAATATCAGCAGTTTAGCAAAATTACCTTCTTGCTATGGGCCATGGGCATAAATAGGATTGGCCATGAGTTATCCGCAGTTCCTTTGCAAATGCTGTAGGTCTGTGTGTCTAAGCTGTCTCTTCCACATGAGGAAGTAAAGTAGATCAGAATATGAGTGAGATCGATGTTCTTATGGGGTAGCTGTGCTTCTGCCTTATTTTATTTAAAAAATCACAATTCCCAATCTTGGGTTCTCAGTCAGTAGTAGCACATTTCTTGTGATATAACTGATCAGGACGCACCCATTTGTTGTTACATCAGAGTTGATAATTAATGGAGCAGATATTTTCAAAAGAAGCTTTCAGCATCACAGATTGGTACCATTGATTTCACATGTGTCTAGGACTTGCTTTTTTTTTTAAGATAGAGTCTTGCTCCGTCACGCAGGCTGGAGTACAGTGGCATGATCTCGGCTCACGGCAACCTCTGTCTGCTGGGTTCAAGTGATTCTGCTGCCTCAGCCTCTCATGTAGCTGGGATTATAGGCACACGCCACCATGCCCAGCTAATTTTTGTATTTTTAGTAGAGACAGTTTCACCATGTTGGCCAGGCTGGTCTCAAACTCCTGACCTCAGGTGATCTTCCCACCTTGGCCTCCCAAAGTGCTGGGATTACAGGTGTGAGCCCCTGCGCCCAGCCATGCTTCTAAGATAGAGAAATTCAGCTGAACAGCAGGCTGCTATAATGGAGTGGAGTTGGTGAGGAGAGGGTGGGGAAGAGCCCAGAGTCAAAGAACCTTGAAAATACTTTTTCTCCATAACTCACCCACTGCAGACATCATTTCCAATCATGGCATATATAACGATGGCGGGATAGTCCAACATCTTGTTTCTAGACAAGCTGAGAAGACATAGATGGAATCTGAATGTCAGATACTTGGAAACCTAGCTATGTAGCCAGTGACACAGGCTGGGCCTTTGAAAATCTTGGTATGACCACCCTCTTGGCAACCTTTTTGCAATTTTTCTTTCATTCTAGTACAGCCAACCACCATTCCCACTTCCCATTTATTCTCTATAATCATTGTCCCACTTGCCTATTAGAGAAAGGCCACATAAATGCATAAAACTGAAAAGAATGGATTGAGGTCCTGGGTAAATAGACACAATACTATCTTCTTGGCATCTTTCACAGCAATTGCATCAATAAGCACAGGTGAGTTATTGGGTTACTTATGTCTATGTTCTTAGGATATCCTGGCAGCCATGGACCCATAGTCAACTTTGAAAAGGCAAAGCCTTCTTGAGGCTTCCAGTCAGGACAACTCGAGCCTTGTTTCTGAATTTCAAGCCCCAAAGAAGCACAAAAAATGTTTTCTCATTCATAAAGCAGGAATATGACATCATCCTTTTGTCTGTCAGACCTAAGTTTTACCAACTTTGTATGCATTTTTATCACCCTTCTTTGAGGACATATGCAAATCACTTTCTATGCTCACTGGCCCAAGGAGTGATATCCTAGAGTTTGGATAGTGACTAACAAGCTATTTATGCTCAGTAAAAATGATTTGGGGGTAATAACAGGGTTTTCATTCCTTATTCAAAATGAGGAACCAAATTAAAAACAACTTTTTATCTTCCACTTACCTTTCTATAAATTTTTTCAAGTTTCGGGAAGATGCACCTGAATAATTAAAATTAAGAAAACAATTAAAGTTAGTGAGTTCAATTTCACACTATCAGTATGGGAGTCTGATTGACTGAACTCATGAAAGCAGCATTACTGTTTGGTCAAAGGTTGTTCTGACCAAACACATTGATGGAAATAATTTGCTTCCAATCAGCTTCTGTAGTGTTTAATCCTGGAACTCTCCTTAAGGGCTTTTCTGTTTATTTACAAAACCAAAATTTCTTTGGATTCATGGGTCTTCAGACATTTCCTAAGCATACATAAGTAAATCTTCTAGTAGATGTGAGAAAAAAGTATATATCTACTACCAAACAGACAAACTACCGAAAATATTAAAGAATGAGTTGAAGAATTAGAGGAAAATGCAAAGAATGTTACAAGAATTGCCCACCTCCTTGGAGAGCCCCATTTAATCTCCTCCTATTATTCCTGCACACTCCCGAGGCTCCCGCAGGCTGTCTGGCCAACACAAGGTTCAGATTGTAGAGTTGATATATTTCAACTCTTGTAATGATATACATGACCATCCTGCCCCATCCCATTACCACCTGTAACATATCTCTTATATGAAAATCCAGACCAGGCATGGTGGCTCACACCTGTAATCCCAGCACTTTGGGAAGCCAAGGCAGGCGGATCGCTTGAGGTCAGGAGTTCGAGACCAGTTCAAGACCAGCCTGGCCAACATGGCAAAACCTCGTCTCTACTACAAATACAAACAAATTAGTCAGGCATGGTGGCGTGCACCTGTAATCCCAGCTACTCTAGAGGCTGAGGCAGAAGAACTGCTTGAACCTGGTTGGTGGAGGTTGCAGTGAGCTGAGATCGTGCCACTGCATTCCAGCCTGGGCGACAGAGAGAGACTTGCCTCAAAAAAAAGAAAATCATATTTGTTTAATACTTATTTTACTCTAGGTGCTGTTACACTTTTACAGCTCATTTAAGTTGTGGTACAATTGTGTGAGGTAGGTACTGTCGTATTCCCACTTTTAAATGAGGAAACTGAGGCCCACTTAAGTGGCTTGCCCAAAGCCACACAGGTACTCATTTGAAGAACTGCAGTTCGAACCAGTCCCTTCCGTCTGCCATGCTGAACTCTGGCTTCCTGTGGACAGTGCTCCTCTAGGCTGTAGTTGAGAAAGAGTGAACCCAAACTAGTGTACTGTCTTTTTGTTCCCAAGAGACAGATCTGCTAGAAATAAGCAAGTATTTCTCAGGTGGGTGGTGCAACTCAGTGGATGAGTTGGAGAAACACCATCCTGTTGCCCCTTTCCGTAGGAAGATTCTCCTATAACTTCCATCCTTGGAAGCTTGGGGATAAGTGCATTTTACCGCAGACCCAGGTATGTTCTTCCAGTTCCATGTGGGAAAAAGGGCAGTGTGCAGCCATGAAGGGTGTGCTGGCCTGTGTCTCACTGAAGCTGTGTAGCTATGCAATGATTGCCTCTTTTTCACATACAGCTAGTGGCAAGCTGTACAGGCAGCACTGATGTTCTCTTGGTTGATTCAGGAATGTTAGTACATTAAATAAATATTGCTTTATGTCTGTTTTATTATGGTAAAATATACATCTTTCTTTTTTTTTTGTGACAGAATCTTGCTCTGTTGCCCAGGCTGGAGTGCAGTGGTGTGATCTTGGCTCATTGCAACCTCCGCCTCCTGGGTTCAAGCGATTCTCCTGCCTCAGCCTCTTGAGTAGCTGGGATTACAGGTGTGTGCCACCATGCTTGGCTAATTTTTGTATTTTTAGTAGAGATGAGGTTTCACCATGTTGGTCAGGCTGGTCTCGAACTCCTGACCTAGTGATCTGCCTGCCTTGGCCTCCCAAAGTGCTGGGATTACAGGCGTGAGCCACTGCATCTGGCCTCATTTCATCTTTTAACCCCTCTTGAGTGTACAACTCAGTGGCATTCAGTTCATTTACATTGTTGTGCAACCATCATCACCACCCATCTCCAGAACCTTTCCATCATTCCATCAAACCAAAACTCAAAATGCAATAAAGAATAACTTCCACTAACTCCTCCTTCCAGCCCCTGATAACCACTCTTCTACTTTCTGCCCTTTTGCATTTAACTATTCTAGGCACCTCATGTAGATGGCTCAAGTCATACTTGTCCTTTTGGGTCTGGTTTATTTTACTCAGCATAACGTCCTCAAGCTTCATTCATAACACATTTTGTTTATCCATTCATTCGTTGATGGCCATTTGGGTTATTTCCACCTTTTGGTTGCTGTGAATAGTGCTGCTATGGATAGTCCCTGCTTTCAAGTGTTTTGGGCATATGGTATACCTAACTGAAAGTGCTGGGCTATATTGGAATACTACGTTTAATTTTTTTCAGAAATGGCTATGTCGTCTTCTTTCTTTTTTGTAGTGAGGCAAGGAATCATTATTATTATTTTGATTTCAACTTTTATTTTTGATTCGGGGTACATGTACAGGTTTCTTACCTGGGTATATTGTGTAATGCTGAGGTTTGGGGGACAATTGATCCCATCACCCAGGTACTGAGCATAGCAGACCCAATAGGTAATTTTCTTTATTTTTTATTTTATTTTAAGTTGCAGGATACATGTGCGGGATGTGCAGGTTTGTTACATAGGTAAATATGTGCCATGGTGGTTTGCTGCACCTGTCAAGCCATCACCTAGGTATTAAGCCCAGCATGCATTAGCTATTTCTCCTAATGCTCTCCCCACCCTGGCACTCCCCCGACAGGCCGCAGCATGTGTTGTTCCCCTTCCTGTGTCCATGTGTTCTCATTGTTCAGCTGCCACTTATAAGTGAGAACATATGGTGTTTGGTTTTCTGTTCCCGTGTTAGTTTGCTAAGGATGATGGTTTCCAGCTCCCTCCATGTCCCTGAAAAGAACATGATCTCGTTCCTTTTTATGGTTGCGTGGTATTCCATGGTGTATGTGTACCACATTTTCTTTATCCAGTCTATCATCAATGGGTATTTGGGTTGATTTCATCTCTTTGCTACCATGAATAGTGCTACAATGAACACACACATGCATGTATCTTTATAACAGAATGATTTATATCCCCTTGGGTATATAACCATAATGGGTCAAATGGTACTTCTGGTTCTAAATCTTTGAGGAATCGCCACACTGTCCTCCACAATGGTTGAACTAATTTACATTCCCACCAACAGGGTATAAGCATTCCTATTTCTCCATAAGCTTGCCAGCATCTGTTTCTTGACTTTTTAATAATCACCGTTCTGACTGTCGTTTTCAACCTTTGCTCCTTCCCTCCCCACCTCTAGTAGTTTTGTGCCTGTTCTTGCCATCTTTATGCCCATGAATATCCATTGTTTATCTCCTACTTGTTAGTGAGAACATATGGTATTTGGTTTTCTGTTTCTGCATTAATTCACTTAGGATAATGGCCTCCAGCTGCCTCCATGTTGCTGGCGATGACATGATTTAGTTCTTTTTACGGTTGCATAGTATTCCATGGTGTATATACACCACATTTTCCTTATTCAATCCACTGTTATGGGCACCTAGGTTGATTCCATGTCTTTGCTATTGTGAATAGTGTTGTGATGAACATATGGGTACATATGCCCTTTTGGTAGAATAAATGATTTTCTTTTGGATATACACCCAGTAATTGGATTGCTGGGTCAAATGGTAGTTTTCAAAGTTCTTTGGGAAATCTCCAACTGCTTTCCACAGTAGGTGAACTAATTTACATTCCCAACAGTAGTGTATAAACATTCCCTTTTCTCTGCAGCCTTGTCAGCATCTGTTGTTTTCTGACTTTGTAATCATAGCCATTCTGACTGGTGTGAGATGGTATTTCATTGTGGTTTTGATTTGCATTTCTCTGATGATTAGTGATGTTGAGTCTTTTTCATATTCTTGTTGGCTGCTTATATGTCTTCTTCTGAGAAGTATCTGTCCATGTCTTTAACCCATTTTTTTAAATGGGGTTATTTGGTTTTTGCTTGTTCAATTGTTTAAATTCCTTATAGATTCTGGATATTAGACTTTGGTTGCATGCATCATTTGTGAATATTTTGTAGGTTGTCTGTTTACTCTGTCGATGGTTTCTTTTACTGTCCAGAAGCTCTTTAATTAGGTCCCACTTGTCAATTTTTGTTTTTGTTGCAGTTGCTTTTGAAGACTTAGTCATAATTTTTTTCCCAAGACCAATGTCTAGAATGGTGTTTTCTAGGTTTTCTTTTAGGATTCTTATACTTAAGCTCTTACATTTAATTCTTTAATCCATTTGAGTAATTTTTGTATATGGTGAAAGATAGGAGTCCAATTTTATTCTTCTGCTTGTGACTTGTCAGCTATCCCAGCATCATTTATTGAACAGGGAGTCCTTTCCCTATTGCCTGTTTTTGTTGACTTCATTGATGATCAGATGGCTGTAGGTGTGCCATCTTATTTCTGGGCTCTCTATTCTATTCCATTGGTCTACATGTCTGTTTTTGTACCAGTCCATGCATTTTGGTCACTGTAGCCTTATAGTATAGTTTGAAGTTGGGTAATGTGAGCCTCTAGCTTTGTTCTCTTTGCTTAGTATTGCTTTGGCTATTCAGGCTTTTTTTCTGGTTCCATATGAATTTTAGAATAGTTTTTTTCTAATTTTGTGAAAAATGATATTGGTAGCTTGATAAGAATAGCATTGAATCTGTAGATTGCTTTGGGCAGTATGGCCATTTTAACAATATTGATTCTTCCAATTCATGAGCATGGAATATTTCTCCATTTGTCTTGTGTCATTCATGATTTCTTTCAGCAACGTTTTTTAGTTCTCCTTGTAAAGGTCTTTGGCCTCCTTGGTTAGATGTATTCCCAGGTATTTTATTTTCTTGGGATGTTGTAAATGGGATTATTTTCCTGATTTGGCTCTCAGCTTGAATGTTATAGAAGTATAGACATTTCACTGATTTTTGTACATTGATTTTGTATCCTGAAACTTTGCTAAAGTTGTTTATCAGTTCCAGGAGCCTTTTAGTGCAGTCT